TCTGCGGCCTCTGCCCTTGGCTTGCAGGGGGCCACCTTCTCGCTGTGTCCTCACTCGACCTGGGGGTTGCCTGCGTCTGATTTCCTCTCCTGCAAAGGACGCCAGCCATAATGGATTAGGGCTCCTCTGTGTGACCTCGTTTTAGCTTAATTACCTCTTTAAAGAGCATATGTCCCCAAACTGTCACGCTCGGAATTCCCCATGGCCTCTTACCATGGTGCTTCCTCGGGGCATTTTCAGGGGAAATGCTGTGTCTCGTCCGCTTTAGGGTGACAGGCCTTCTTTGTCATATACAAGCCTGTCATGCAGAGAGTCACACTCCCAATTAGAAGCAGGGGGAGGAGCAGAAAGACGGGTCACCGTGGAGAAAATGTGTGTGGGTTTCTGAACTTTACCTAATGTTACAAATCATTCACATAAGCAAGTTCTCCAGAGGCGTTTAAAATATGACAGGGATGCTGGCCGGTTAGTTCAGTTGGTTAGAGCGTCGCCCCAATACGCCAGGGTTGTGGGTTCAATCCCCAGTCAGGGCACATAAAAGAATCAGCCAGTGAACGTATAAGGAAGTGGAACAACAAATCGATGTCTCTCTCTCTCTCCCCCCTTTCCTTTTTCTCTAAAATCAATAAAGAAACAGATTTAAAAATTAAAAATAAATATGATTGGGTTCAGGCAATAAACAAATTTATCGTTTAAAGTGAGATAGGCCGATGTCAGTTCCTGTCCCCAAGCAGAAGGGTCTGTCAGGGCCGGGAGTGCTGAGTTTTTTGCCCAAACAGAGATTTGTCAGGTCCTGCGAAGCACCACCATCTTTCTGCTCGAGACACCTCCGCCGCGTGCCCACAGGCCGGTCCCCAGAGTGGAGACCGGCCACCGTCAGCTCCCAACCCAGCCCCCGCGGCCGCCTTGAGCAAGCCAACGGCCGGCAGTTAAAAGTGCCATGCAAATCATTTGTCCAAATTATTTTTGTACCTCATCATTTGTGATAAATGGGTCTTTTTTTTTTTTTTCATTAGAGAAATGATTACTGTTTTTCTTCAAGTTGGCATTTCCAGGGAGCCATTCACATTTAAAGCTAATATTGGAACAGCAGGTTTCTACTGAAAATATTTGCCTTTTCTTTGTTGGCAACCTGTCAGTGTTGGGAAAATTAGATGGTTCACAAAAACCTAAATACATGAGGCTTTTTTTTTCTCATACATCAGTCCATCTTTTTGCAAGAGGAAGGCATTGTGAGAGGTGTCGGGAGGTCGTTGCGGTCATGTTTTTACGTATTTTGGGACGGCTTCTGGCATCGTATTCTTCTTTTCTAAAACAGGCAATACACCCCTGGCTGGGAGGCTCAGTGGGCTGGAGCATCGTCCTGCACCCCAAGGGGTTACAGGGTTGATTCCCCGTCAGGACACATGCCTGGGTTACGGGTTCAATCCCCAGCTGGGGTACATACAGGAGGCAACCAATTGATGTTTCTCTCTCTCGCTCTCTCCCCCCTCCCTCTCTCTAAAATCAATAAACATATCCTCAGGCAAGGATTAAAAAATATACGAAGCCTTCCAGCACCTATGACTTGCATGGAGAAGACCTAGAATGGCGGGTTGAATTTCCCCGCTAGAACATCAGTGTTGATCTTGGCTGCCTGGCCGGCAGGCAGGGCCTTCAGCCTGAGAGAGCCCATTGCTGGAAATAAGACCATAGCGAAGGTGGCTTCTCAAACAGCATGAGAGCCCGGGCCTCCGTATACACTCAGTCCTCTCAGCTGCCCCGCCAGGTAGTTGAAAAACTACCCGTGAAAAGCCAGGCTCAGAGGGTTTGAGACCCGGGCCCCCGGTCACGCAGTGGAGCTGCCGCTCCAGGACTCCGTCTCCTGCTCTCTTTCTCCTGCTGCAGGTTGCTCTTTATCTTCCTAGGGGGTTGCACCCTCGCCACACCATGCCACCAATGTCCCATACTGGTTGCGACCTCTCTCTTGGGGTTCAGTGGCCGAGAGAAGCCCTGGGACACAGGGCAGGGACTAGGGAAGGAGACCGCCTGGGCCATCCCGGTTCCTCTTGTGCACGCAGAAGCCAGAAAGGAGTTGGTGCAATGAGCTGATGTCATGGAGGAGGCTCCGCCCTTCCTGTGCAAAGGAGAAAGGAGCCCTATACTAGATGCCAACGTGTCGCCGGAAAAGAGGCCCCGCCCCTTCACTCCCTTCTAACTCCCTTGACCTTCAAAGGGAAATGGGTTCTTATTCTGTTTATCAAAAGACCCTGTAAACAATGTGGGAGGACAAAGAGCATCAACTGGGAGAAGAGATTTACAATATGCAACCGACAGAGGATTGGTTCCAAATGCAAGCCAGACTAAGCAATGTATTGTTTAAGCACACATGCAATTAATGGTATTAAAACGCCATAGTTTTTAAAAGGCGATGAAAGAACAAGCCAAGAGGCTGAGCAGTTTGCGCTGTGAGGAGCAGGGCAGGGGTAGAGACCACAGCGGGTCATGCTCATATTTGCATTGGATAGAAGAGTTTATAGTGACCGTTATTTTAGTAGGCTTTGGCACGAACATGTCTGTGACGTACTGTCCTCCATACACATCAAACAGTATGTATTTTTTAAAAAGGTGAAAAGTCATTAGTTATTTTTATTTATTTATTTATTTTTAAAAGTTTTCTTTATTTTTAGAGAGAGGGTAAAGGAGGGAGAAAGGGAAACATCAATGTGTGGTTGCCTCTCGCGCGCCCCCTTGTGGGGACCTAGCCTGCAACCCAGGCTTGTGCGCTGACTGGGAATCGAACCAGTGACCCTTTGGTTCACAGGCTGACGCTCAATCCACTGAACCACACCAGCCAGGGGAGTGGTTAGTTATTTTTAACAACCCCTGGAGGTAGGTGCCATTGCCTCCATTTTTATAGATAGGGGAACAGAGGCTCTGTGGGGTCAAACTAGCCTCTAACACATTCGTTGAGTGCTTACGGAGTGCCGGGCACTTACTGTGAATCATCTTTTTGAGTTGAGAAGGCGGCTGTCTATAGGCATGAAGTGGATGGGCCGGCACCTTGTTCTGGAGCTTCCTAGCCTCCAGAACCGTGAGAAATCAGTGTCTGTTGTATAAGTCGCCGGGTCTGTGGAATTTTGCTGCTGCAGCCCAGTCTCACTGCAACAGGACCTCGGTGGTCGCCTAGTTGCTGGATGGCCCTGGGTCACTATGCTACTTCAGAAACTGACATGGTACCACATGGCAAGCAGACGTGGACACCTCGTCACCCGCCCCTGAGGGGAGGGCTGTGGAGCAGAGAGGAGATGGGATGGGACAGCAGAGCGTCCCACAACGAGAGTTTTAAGCAGATGAGACAGGAGGGTTTAACTTACATGAAACATTGGTCCCTGAGCGCCTAGGGAGGTGTCTCCTTACAGAATCTCCTTGGCGAGACTCTACCTACTTCAGCCTTCACCCTACTTCAGCCTTCACCACCTTGGGGCGGGGGGGCGGGGGGGGCGGGGGAATCACTTTTATTTTTTTAAATCAATTATTTCCAGAGTTTCTGTGTATGTGTGTGTGTAATTCTATTTATTTATTTTTAGAGAGGGGAAAGAGGGAGAGAAACATCAATGTGTGGTTGCATTTCGTATGCTCCATGCTTGGGACCTCGCCTGCAACCCAGGCATGTGCTCTGACTGGGAATCGAACCAACGACCCTTTGGTTCGCAGGCTGGTGCTCAATCCACTGTGCCACACCAGCTAGGGCCAGAGTTTCTGTGTTTTGAGTACCTGCTATGTTGCTATAGATTCTGGGATATAGATGGAATATTTCCAGTCCAGTCTGGGGGAAAGGGGAGGACCCTGTGCTTGGTGAGGCGAACCCCAAAACAGTGCTGCCTGAGCTGGGGGTGCAGGGGCGCTGGGGGCGGCACCCGTTAATGCTCGTGTCTTGGAAGAGCCTTTAGTGGCACCAGGAAATGTTCGGTATAAAGTTCAGTAGGGGGGAAAAAAAGAACTTGAACAGAATTATATGCTGCAGACAAAGAAAAATACTACAAGAAAATAATCCGAATATCATCACTAGTTATCCCTCTTTTGCCCACTCTGCAAAGAGCGTACATTAGTCTTAAAATTGTAAAAAGTCCCCTTTTCCATTATGTCTTAAATAGCTCTAAGATTTGAAGTTTGGGTTCGTGCAGGGTGTGGCCACCAAACACCCCGACCCGGTCCTGGTTCTGGGGCCCTGAGTGAGGTGGCGGTGGGTGCCGACCAGCCACCGAGAGTGCTGATCCAGGGTGGGGGACACACCTTTCCTGAGACTCAGGTCTCACTTGACCAGAATCCGAGCCGGAGAAGCAGGTGGCTGCCATTACCTCTGCTTCCCCGTCACCGGCAGCGTCATGGAGCCACCTGCTCTGGGCAAGCCCTGGGGCGGGGGTGGGGGCCGCGCCTGCTGGGGGCCATGTAGTCAGCCGACGCGGCAAACGCCGGGCACGGGGGTGACGCGGTGAGCCCCCGGCCAGGAGGCAGGCGCTGGGAGAGGCTCGTGGCACCCCACTCGCCTCTCTTCTTTGGGGATGAAAGCTGCGCCCCCCAACTGCCTAAAGGCCCCCAGAAGGAGCGCACGCAGAGACAGCATGGCCCCTCCTCGGTCGGCTGAGACGTGGCCCCCTGTCTTTTAGGTTAAAGGCTCCTAATTATAAATCAGGGGTGGAATTTTATTTTTAAAAAGAGAAGTAAATATAAACTGTGAACAGCTAGGGAAGCTGGAAATGGCTCCGAGTTCGGCTACAAAAATGTCCATTTTTAAATACGAGCCTGGTGTCTCAGTGCTGAGGAAACTGTTTAAATCCCCTCTTTTCCAAGGAGCATTGTTTTCTTTATCGTCAGCGGGCGCGGAACGTGGCGAGAGGTGTCCGAAGGCTGTCGGACCCACCCCTGAGCGGATCGGGGCTCCGTGGCTGCGCCCCTGCTCCCGGGTCGCGGTCTCCGCGGGGACAGGCATGCACCAATCGAGCCTTGTCTGCTTCCAGGCATCCGCATGCTGGACGGGGACGTGACCGACATGGTGGAGGCCAAGTCGCTGGGCATCCGGCCCAACTACATCGACATCTACAGCGCGAGCTGGGGGCCGGACGACGACGGGAAGACGGTGGACGGGCCCGGCCGGCTGGCGAAGCAGGCCTTCGAGTACGGCATTAAAAAGGTGTGAGTGACCCAGGGCTGCGGGGGCAGGAGAGTCGGTTAAAAAAAAACGACTTAACAATGAAAAATCAGAGCGACACAGGCCAGAGCCCCCAAGGTGGCCCCGGGAGGTCGTTGCTGTGCCAGGACCAGGCCGGGGAGGAGCCGGTCATTCAGGGGCTCCGGGAGGTGGCTCAGAGCAGCAGTCGTGCACATTGTCACAGAACAGGCGTCTGAGCGGGTGGCAGCGGGGCATCCGCCAGCCCGGCTCTGTGCCTCGCAGCCTGGCCGGCCCGCCTGAGGCGGGTGAACAGAAAGGGGTGACCCGCCTCAGCTCAGCTGCCCGAAGAAATACGCAGCGTGGCGTTTTCTGTGCCCGTCGGGGGGCGTGCACCGAGCCAGCGCCCCCCAGAGCAGGGAGTCTGGGTCTGGCTTTCCACCCGCGCTGCCGGCGAGCAGCCCAAGACGGTTAGAATTTGGGCGGCGGGACCTCACCAGGGACTAAGCAGAGCAGACATCCGAGGGCTGGTTCTCCAGGGGCTGGCTGGGGGCGGGGCACTGTGGAGGCTGGCAGCCTCCTCCCGGGGGGCCTGCTGGCCCAGAGGCCCAGCCGCAGCCACTCCGTGGCGATCCATCCTGGGTCCTCGTGAGTCAGAAAGGGCAGCGGGAGTGGGAGGGGGGCTGGCCGTGCCCCAGCTATAACAAGCAGGGTGACGAGGCGGGTTGCCGGGCGCGGACAGCTTCTTGGAGCAGACAGGCGGAGCTGTGGTCAGCGTCGAGGTGGCCCTGGGTGGCCCGACAAGCCCCAGCCCAGCGCATGAGCCAGGGCCTGGTGAGGCGGGCGGAGGTGGGAGCAGGAAATCCAGGCATCCCTCGCATAGCAGCTAGACCTCTGACTTCTGTTGGAAAGAGGACAGAGGGGCCTGGGGCGGGGAGACGGGGGTGGACCCGTTTTAGTATTTATATATTTGTAGACATTTTTTAAAAAGTTTTTACTGTAAGCCATGCAGTGTGATTACAATGTGGTTAATACAGAGGTAATGAAGAAACCAGATCGTACGAGAGCATTTCATAGAAGGCCGTCTTTCTCTGCCCCGCCTGTCCTCGGGTCCTGCCCCACACGGGAAAAATCCTTTAAGATTTTAGTCATTCATTTATTTTTGGAGTGAGGGGAGAGAGGGAGAGAAGCATCGGTGTGTGAGAGGAACATCGATTAGTTGGCTCTCGCGCGCCCCCAGCTGGGGACCTGGCCTGCAACCCGGGCATGTGCCCAGACTGGGAATCGAACCGGCGACCTTTGGCTTTGTGGGACGATGCCCAACCCGCTGAACCACATCGGTCAGGACAGAGGAGCAGTCTTTTAAAACTCGCTTCATGATTTCCTTTTTCTGAATGATAAGATTTGACTGCTTTTCTGGGTGTATTGAGTTTGGTTATTTTCTATTAATTTCCTGGGATGGGGGTTGAGTGCTTCTCTCTTAGAATGACCCCCGCCTGGTGACCCACGCCCCAGCCTTCCAGGGCTCAGGCCTCACCATGTGTCCTCCACGCCCCGACCAGGGCCCGGCCCAGGGACCCTGCAGGGTGCCGGCGTCACCAAGTCAGCTGCTGCCCTCAAGGCGCTGCCAAATACAAATGTCCCGTCTTCCCCACAGTTGGCTCCTGCCACCTACTACATCACTTGGATCTCACGCTTGATGACAAGTGAAACCTCCTGCAAATTGAGCTCATTGAAGCTGTGAATGAGAGATCGCGTTTTCTGCATGGGAGTCATGCTGCGAATGGTGTTGATTGTGCGTGTCTCTCACGCCTACGCGATGATGTCCAAAGCCTTGAGATCTCAGGACGGGGCCCCCTATTTCCAGGAGGGGTGATGATTCTTTTCAGACAATGATTGGGGCTCTCGGCTTCCCTGGGTTTGTGTAGGCGGGACTTTGGAAAGTCGGGAACACAGCGAGGGGCTCTTTGCACTCAGATTCTGAGCAACATCAGCTTCATCAGACTCTCAGGGGACAGAGGAAGTTGCAGAGGGGACTCCGTGGCTCCCTGTCATTCTTGTCATGGTTTTTTGAATTACTGAGGTCATTTCTTTTTTCCTTTTCTTTTCTTTTTCTTTTTCTTTTTTTTTTTGAGTTATTCTCAAGTGAAAATATGTCTTAGAGGGAGCCTTCCATTGCCGCTCTCTGAAATTGTCACAGAAAATCCTCCTGGAAATTTCGATGATCTCTACCCAAATCACATCCGCCATCTGTTTCTCCTCCTCAATGACCCATTTGTCACCTGTAGTCTTTTTTCTATAAACTCTGACTTCCTCTCAGGTAGATGGTGTCGTTTGGTGGCGGGAGAGACTTCAGAACCATGATTTGGTAGAAAGATCTGTTTGATGCCGATCTTTAGGAAGCCCCAAAACACTGACTCTTCAAGTATCGTCCAGGGGCGAAGATGAACACTGCAGTGGCCTTGCTAGAAATGCAGAATTTCAGACCCACCAGGAACAAGACCCCCAGCGATTCCTATGCAGGCTCAAGGATGAGGGCGCTGCCCTGGCTGGGTGGCTCTTTCGGTTGGAGCGTCATCCTACACCAAAAGGCTGCGGGTTCGATCCCTGGCCAGGGCACATACCTAGGTTGTGGGTTCTATCCCTGGTAGAGGTGCATACAGGAGGCAGCTGATCGACATTTCTCTCTCACGTCAACGTTTCTCTTTCTCCCTTCCCCCCTCTGTAAAAATCAACAAACATATCCTCGGGTGAGGATTTAAAAAAATAGTAAGGGAGCTATTTGAGTCCGTTCTCTGTCCTGCTGGGCCGTCAGCTTGCATGCCCCATGTTGCAAAGCGACAACCTCTATAAGTAGTTTGGAATCGGGCGGGGAGCTAAGGGTGCCGGTGCCTTAGAGATGATTGTCATGGAATAACAGGCTCTGATGGGTTAAAAAGCTTTTCATTTGGATTTTAGTTATTTCGAATGGGCTTCTGATTACTCTTTCTCTACAGGTAATTAAATGCCCAGACACATCCATTGCCTTAGTGCTTGGGGCCCTTCTTCCAGAATGTTGATCTTTTTGCCCACTGTGACTGCTCTTTCTGTCTGTCGCACACTGGGCTGTTAGGTCTGGCCCACGCTGGCACTGGGGACACCTGGGGGCGTGCACGGCAGGACTGGCCAAGCACGAGGGACCTTCCTGTGGGCTCCGCTGGAACTGGAGGAAATGTCAGGTTATGACAAATAGGCTCAGAAGGGTGGAAAACTGTGGTCACTTGTTCTGCAAAGCGGAGCAGCCTGGAGCTTCCAGAGCAGGCGGGTCCTCGCAGCCCAGGGTGGCCGCGAACGCCAAGGGTGAGTGTGACGCGTCCCATCAGCAGCAGGGCTTCCCGTGGACTCTAAAGGGATTGCAGAATGTTGTTGACAGTTTCCTTTAAATTGGCCAGTTGTCGGGCATAAGTATCAATTTCCTGCTGCGTGTTTGGAAAGGAGGGTCTTTGGCAAGGACGCCGCAGTTACCAGCCCTGTGGGTCCCGTTGCATGCGCAGATGGGTGTTGGCTACGCTCTGGAGCTGGCTGCGCCCACCGGCCGGTCCAGCCACGTGAACCGAGTGGGTCTTGGAGGAGCTCGCCTTCAGCAGGAGCCTGTGGCTGGGGTGACCGCTTGATTTGGGCACCGATCACTAAGCCTGTGGGTGTGGGAGGGAACGGGAACCCACCTGGACCCGCCACTGTCTCTCAAAGACTCGCTTTCATGGGCACGTTCTTCAAAACGAGCCCCACAAGGGCAGCCACTGGCCTTGGCTGGCATCGACGACCTGACCACTTCCGTGCTTGCTCGAGTGCCGCCGCGGGCAGGCAGGGCGCTCCGTGCCCAGAGATCGAGGCCGTGTCTCTGCTGTCAGATGTAGCTAGCTCTCCAGGAAGAGTGCTTCTTGCCCTGACCAGTGTGTCTCGGTTGGAGCGTCATCGTGTAACCAATAGGTTGCAGGTTCGATTCCCGGTCAGGGCACATGTCTGGGTTGCGGGTTTGTTCTCCCATCCAGGCACGGTCTGGGTGGATACAGGAGGCAACCAATTGATACTTCTGTCTCACATCATGTTTCTCTCCCTCGTCCTCTCTCTTAAAGCAAAAAAAAAAAAAAGTGCTTCTTCAGCTGGATTTCCTGGAAATTTACCCCCTCCCCTCAGGACTAGGTCTTTCAATCCAGAAAAAGTCACTTTATAAATTCAGCCATCATCTTCCGTGTCAGCGTTACGTGTGGCGCAGTTTGGTCTGTTTGACATCGGTCCTTACGTGGTAAATTCTAGGCAGAGCTCCCGGATCAGGACAGCTTGCCCCAGCGTCCTAGGCTTTCCTAGGAAGAACAGCGTGGTCCCTCCCTGGGTCTTGCCCCCAGGGTAGCCCTGTGAGCCTGAAGTTTTTCGGTTGTCTCCACAGTCAAAAGTGCTCTGTGAAAACCAGAGCAGAGTCCTCTGTTAAAATCCAAACACGTGGCGTCCACATGGTCTGAGCACACCCTTCCTGGCCCCGCTGAAGGGACAGGCAGAAGGAGGGACCGCAGGCCACCTGCGAGTCCCACCCTGCCGGGTCTGGGCTGCTGGGCTGATGCCTGCCTGTCTCCCCTCCCCCCCGGGCAGGGCCGGCAGGGCTTGGGCTCCATCTTCGTCTGGGCGTCAGGGAACGGCGGCCGAGAGGGCGACTACTGCTCGTGCGACGGCTACACCAACAGCATCTACACCATCTCCGTGAGCAGCACCACCGAGAACGGCTATAAGCCGTGGTACCTGGAGGAGTGCGCGTCCACTCTGGCCACCACCTACAGCAGCGGGGCGTTCTACGAGCGGAAAATCGTGAGTGCCCCTGGCATGCCAGAGAGCCGAGGGCGGGAGCCCTCTGCGCTTGGGGGACGTGTTCCTTTCTTTCCCTCTCTACGAAAAGATCTGAGCCAGGTCTGGGCCAGTGTGTCCCGGGTCCCAGGGGACCCCTCGGCCATCCATGAACCAGCTGTGCCTCAGGCTATAAACCCTAGGCCCTTGGCAACCTTCCTCAGGCCCTGCCTTGCTAATTTTTGCACGGAATGCCAATTAAAACCCTCTCTGGCTCTAGAGGTCTAAAAATATCCTTTAAGAACGGGGTACATTCTCGTCACGACGTCTCCTTTTAGCTGTCTCAAATTCTGTGGTCACAGAGCTTAGGATCCGACTGACCGGTTCAGTTTCAGTGTGCAGAATTGCGTAAGAGAAAGACTTGGCTTTGTACTGAAAGAGCGTAGAAATCCAAGTGTTCCCCTGGGCATTCCTTTCCCAACAAAAGGACTTTTTCTAGACACTGAGCCTAGCAGAGGTTTTTGCCCGCTGTGCTCACTCCAATGGACATAAGGTGGTTTGTCTTGGATAAAGTCACTGTTTTTGTTTCGTACGTAGACAGGCTTGTGCTTTTTCCTTTCTTCCTTTAAAAGGAGGAAGAGGGGTGGGCAGGAAGCTGAAATTAATGCACGGTTCAAACGTACAGCCGTTCAGTTGGGTTTTAGACACTTGAAAAACGAGACCACGGAACCAGGCAGATGCAGCTTCGTTTTAAAGCTCACTGGCGGCTTCTCAGTTCTCCTGCTGCTTCGCCGCATCATTAGGAATGATCTGCAGGTTTATTTTTGCATTTCTCGGTGGGAGCACACAGGCTCCCTGTTGCCCGCTGCGCTCCGCGCTGGCGGAAGGGTCAGCCCTGATCGCTCGGCCGCCAGCCTGGCAGTGGCCCCGGGCCAGTTAACGAAGGTACTAATTTAAGTTATTTTTCTTTTCCACTGGAGCACGCGCCCCTGGGACAGGCGGCTGAGATCCTGAATGGTGTCCTGTTCGTTTAGGAATCGCGCTCATTTGAGCACGGACTGGCTAGAGTCTTGTAAAACTGATGCCTGTCCCGAAACCTCTGGCTGCAGGGGAGCGAAGAGGAGGCTGTGTCGTTGGACACTTTGTCCTGGGGACGTCGTGCTGGGAGGCCAGCGCTTCCCGTCCCTGGATGCAGGCCTTGGCTATAAAATGCTAACATATGGGTAGAAAGGGTGGAGTTCAGAAAAGGTCACAAAAGCAAACATACTCAGTTGTACTCGCTGTCCCGGGACTCTCTTCTGGGAAAATGGACGGCACTTTTGTTTTTCAGCTCAACTAGGGCTGCTTCTTTGCTCTGAGTCCCCTTAGAGATCCTGCAAGGGGACGAGCAGCCGTTGCGGACCAGTGACAGCCTTCAGGCAGGTGTCTGACAGGCATCAGGGCTCTGTCCCCTTGGGACTCGCTGTTTCTCTGCTCAGTGAATACTGAGCAGTGTTCTCCTGAAGTGAGGCATTGCCCGGTGTGGGGACGTGACCCTTGATAAAAGGCTCAGCGTCTAAAGCGAGCGCCTCTGGTTCACTCCTCGACGTTCCATTCATTCACTAAACATGAGCCGTGCTCCACGCATGACGTCTGGTCCCGGGAGAGGGGCACGTACATGCCAGGTGCCAGCAGTGACTGTCACAGAAGGCCAGGGAAGGACATATCATCATGCCCACTTAAAGATAAAGATGCTAGCGTCGGAGACGTTGCGTCCTCGTCCCTCTCCTCAGCTGCCCTCCACAAAGACACCTGGATCCAGGTGTCAGCCAGGCTGCGTTCCATTCAGGAGGCTCGAGGGAGAATCCGTTCCTTGCTCTTTCAGGTTGTCGGCAGGATTTAGTTCCTTGTGGGTATAAGACAGAGCTTCCGTTTCCTTGTGAGCTGTCCACCGCGGCCGTTCTCAGCCTGTGCGGGCCCCCCACACCCCGCGGCTTGTGTCCCCAACTCCCTCTTCAAAGCCAGCAGTGATGGTTTGGGTCCCTCTCCTACCTCATCTCTTGGACAGACTTTCTGTCCCTTTCCACTTCTAAGGCCCCCGTGATTGCCTTGGACCCACTGGATAACCCACGGCACTATCCCCGATTCAAACAAGCCTGTTCAGCAACCTGAATTCCATCTGCAAAATGCATGGGGGAAACGCTGGGTAGCCAAACCCCGTCTAGCACAGGAGGCGCTGCACACATGTAGCCACACATGCCCATCGGGTGGTGGCTGCTTCTCCACTTCAAGTGAAAGGCAAGGTATAGGTCAGGCCGCCCCATAGCGAGGTCCACGATCCATCCTCCCACCCAGGCCGGCGTTGACCCCTTGGTTGGCACAGCCGGCCTCGCCTTCCCAGAGAGGACAGACCATTTCACAGTCTCTCACAGCGGGCCCTCTGAGGCCAAGGACGCTCCGTGCCAGGGTTCTCTGCCGCTGTTGTCGGAACTTGCTGCTTTGGGACATTGTCAGCTCTCTGAGGACATCCCGAGGGCAGAATGATCTGTGATCTTCCCGTTAAAGATAGAAATTCTCTCTGGGCCGCCCAGGCATGTCCATGTGTTTCCAGCTGCTCTGAAGGGGCGCGGTGATTTGGGGGTTGTTACTGTGGACTTGGCAGGCGGTCCCGCGACAGGCACTCTGCAGTGAGGGTTCCCTTTTACATCATTTTTTGTCCTACCTTTGTGTCCCTGCATGCACACCGTCCTCCCTTGGCCTTGCCCTCTCGTCCTCGCCCCGCGATTGGCTGGTTCCTGTTGCGGGTCCATTTTTGACACGTGACAGCAAAGCCGTTTAGCCACGTGTACCAGACATGGCGAACACCTTGGCTGCCGAGATGTCTCCAAGGAGCGCCTTTTCCATCCCTGGGACCCGGAATCCCACGTGCCCAAGGCCAGGCTCTTGAGTGCCCTGTGACTTCCCCCGAGCGCTGCCCTCACCTCTTGCTGCCCCGCCCCCCGCAGGTCACCACGGACCTGCGTCAGCGCTGCACCGATGGCCACACGGGGACCTCGGTCTCCGCCCCCATGGTGGCCGGGATCATCGCCTTGGCTTTAGAAGCAAAGTAAGTTCCCATTTACTTTCCACTCCTTTTTCTAATTTTTTCCCAAGGGTTTATCGTAGTGTGATAAGACACACCTCACGTAAACAGGACCGGTGTAACCATGTGTAAGGGAGCAATGAGTTCATGAAGTCCATTCACGCTGCTGAGTCGCCCTCACCACCATCTACCGCCAGAACCTTCTCGTCGTCCCAGACTGGAGCCCCACACACCTATTGAACACCCAACACTCCCGGCTTAGCCAGCTCGGGCGGCGCTAACCGAATACCACAGACTACGGGGGCTGAACCAACAGAAATCTCTCTCTCACAGTTCTGGAGGCCAGGAGTTGAGGACCCGTGGGCTGGCAGGGTGGGTTGCTCCTGAAGCCTCTCCCTTTGGGGTATAAGCGGCTACGTCCCCCTGTCCCCACCTGGCCTCCCTTCCCTGTATATCCGGATCCTTGTGGAGGACATCTGTCACATAGCATTGGGGCCCGCCCCCGTGATCCCTCTTAGTTCCCCTGCAAAGACCCTGACTCCAAATACAGCCACATTCTGAGGTACCGGGCAGGGGTGTGGGGTTAGGGCTTCAACATATACATTGTGGGGGGTGCAACCCTGAGTCCCTAACACCCCCATTCCCCTTCCCATCAGCCCCTGACAACCATCATTTTGTTGTTCTGTCTCTGTAGCTTTGATTATTCTAGGTACATCCTAAACGTGGAATCACACAGCATTTGTCTTTTTGTGTCTGGCTTCTTTCTTTTTCTTTTTTTTCAAAGCTAATTATAATATGTTTATTTTTTTTAATTTAATTTATTTATTTTTAGAGGGAGGGGGAAAAGGAGGGAGAAAGAGAGGGAGAGACACATCAATGTGTGGTTGCCTCTCGCACGCCCCCTACTGGGGACCTGGCCTGCAAACCAGGCACGTGTCCTGACTGGGTATCGAACCAGCAACCTTTCAGATTGCAGGCCAGTGCGCAGTGCACTGAGCCATACCAGCCAGGACATGTCTGGCTTCTTTCACGTAGTCCAGCGTCCTCACCATTCATCCATGTTGAAGCAGGTGTCAGGACTTTGTTTCTTTTTCAAGGCCCTCCCTAAGGGGTATGAAGTGGTCCCTTCCCCCTTCCCTCTTTCAAGACCTCAGAGGGCCACAAGGTGGGCCAGACCCCAAGCCTCCGTCCCACTCAGCACCGCACAGCAAAGTTGCTCTCTTGGCTGCTGCAGCTGCCCTTTCTAAGCTGTAGTTCATAAATCGACAATACAGGGGTGATGCTGTATCTGTCATAAGGCGATAAAAAAGCTATAGTTATCAGTAGATATAGTTGTTAATATGTACAGCAATGTAAGCCATGGTGTCAAAAGCAAATTTTTGTGTATACATCAAAAGTGCTCCAAGCAACCCAGCCATTTGAAGTAGTTGTTTGTTGGAGATGGGATTTTTAAATGAGTCAAGAATCGCGTTTGAGTTGCTCAAACCCTTGTAATTATGTCTGTTTGCATGTTGACTCGCACAAGGCAAAAGGGCATAAAACGCGAATGCTACCCGTTTAACAAAGGAGCGGCGAAATATTTTCGTTTTTCAGGCCAAAACGTTAGCTGCTGTGTCCTGAGGCCCTTTTATAAAACTCTAACTAATTAGTTACTTGTGTGGAAAGTTGCTTCCACACACTTAGCGATTCATTGTTTTATGTTTTCTTCCATTCCTTATTGGAAACATGCAAGGAATTTTGTGCATCAGAACGAAGTCAAAAACAAACCCTGTTTTGTGCCAGATTTTCCCATTAAACTTGGCCCGCAGATGGACCCATGGAAACTTCGATAGTCATCTTGCATCATGTTAGCTCCTTTTCAGAAGTTTACAGGTAGCAAATCAAGCTCACTTCGTGGAAAACAGCGCCAGCTCAGGGCATGTAAACAGGTAGGGTGGGTCGGGGAAGAACAAGTTATAACCAGGGACCGGCAGGCCTGCGTTGGGATTTGGAGACTGGGGGTCGCTCAGGTGTCTGGAGAGCAGGCCTGCTGACTACGTGGGCAGCTTTGCCGTCCAGCTCTGCTCGCTTCTGCTGCAGAAGGAAGCAGGGCAAGCCAGGCATCCTCGGGGGAGAGGGACCCAGTGACCCAGGCACCCCGGCAGGGCCTGTGGGCAGCATGCACCAAGAAGGAAGAAAGACCCTCCTGCGTATCACCCTGAGGTCGTCCACAGTTGGGGGCCAACTCGGCGCTTCCCATCAGCCTCTTGTTCACTGAAAAATATTTTCAGCGTTATTTCTTAGACGTGTTTTCCAAACAAACGCTATTTGGGGTTTTATTACCAGAGTCAAAAATAAAATGGATTTCCTCATCCTGAGCCGGGTTCCGACTTCCTCCCTTCCTGGACCTAATCTCCGGCACCTTATGCCAGGCCCCCAGGACTGGCTGCAGCCGTCCTTGAGGCGGCCCTGCGGACGCGAGCGGTCACTCGTAGGCCGCACCGGTAGCAAGGGTCAGGGCCACATCTGTTCTGTCTCAACTCCGGAGCATGTGCCTGTGCCCACTTCACCAGGATGCAAGGCCTTGGGCCACTCGGGCCGTCGGAATCTTCCTCTAACAGTGAGGTCGGCTGTGGGCCCCCAGGAGCAGCAGTGGATCATGGGACGAGAGCAGCTCAGCCTGTGCCCAGCCAAGGTTTGGAGAATGGGCTGATGGGCGTGGCAGGGATGCGGCAGCCAGGAGGCCAGCAACCGGCACAGTGGAAGGAACATGTCGGAGACATCAGGGGAGACCAGGGCTAGAGCCTGAAGACTGTGAGCCCCAAGCGGGGAGGACACAGGCGCCCAAGACTCAAGCCGCAGGCCCGCACCTATTAGGAGGACAGGCAAAGAGGGGGCAGTTGGTGGGAGCGTAAAATGGTGCAGCCGCTGTAGAAAACAGCGTGGCAGGGCCTCCAGAAATTAAACAGAATTCCCGTATGGTCCAGCAGCTCCACGTGTGGACCTTAACAGAAGTAAAAGCAGAGACTTGAAGAGAGACTTGCAAACCCGTGTTCACGGCAGCATTACTCACAGCAGCGAAAAAGTGGAAGCGACTCAAGTGTCCACAACAGATGAACGAACGCATGCCGGGTGGTCTATACAGACGATGGAATATCCTGCAGCCTTAAAGAGGGAGACAATTCTGAGCCGAGTGCCACTATGGATGAACCTTGAGGACATGATGCCCCGTGAAAAAAGCTGGTCACAAAGGGATACCCACTACATGATTCCACTCATATGAGACACCTAGAAACACCAAATTCATAGAGACAGAGGAGGAGGGTGGTCGCCCGGGGCTGGGGGGGGGGGGGGGGGAGAGAATGTTTAAGGGGTGTCCAGTTTCAGTTTGGGGAGATGAGAAAGTTCCGTGGATGGATGGTAGTGGCAGTTGTACAAACGTGAATGCGGTTAAGGTGGCGGATTTATGGTCTGTATATTGCAAACACAGAGTAGGTGATTGGAAAGACCATCGTAATGGCTGTGGGTGGGGCAGGCACTGGTCAGGAGGAGAGGGACAAGGCCACGTCATCCAGGGTGTGTCCAGCATTTGTCCGAGGCCCAGTCCTCACACTGGACAGAGACGGTTACCGGAGCGTCATCGTAACTCGAATCTTGACGTCAGAGGTGTGAGAGAGGCGAGAGAATGTATCCAACCCAAAGAAATCTAATCTGTGCGTTTTTATTAGCGGCCATACGTCCTTTTAATGAAAACTCTCTCCTTTGCAACAAAATGAATGCACTGTAAATGCAGAATTAATAAAATCTCAAATTATAACCTGTAGCTGGTGGGTCCAAGCTCAGCTGGGCAGCAAGCTTGGGCCTTCCATGCTGCGGGTTTTGGGTCATCTGCTGTCCTCTTGTTCTCAGGGTTTGCTCGCTGGAAACCATTCTTGACAGGTTGTGAACTAGCCCCATGCCCAGGCATGGAGCCCCCGGAGCTGCCTCAAGTGCAGGCTCCTGGCTCCTGGTGCCCCAGCTGAGTGCGCCGGTGTGGCCGTCATCGCTGACCTGTGTGGGCTACAGCTGTCTGTCCTTGTGTCATTGCAGCAACCAGCTAACCTGGAGGGACGTGCAGCACCTGCTGGTGAAGACATCCAGGCCCGCCCACCTGAAAGCGAATGACTGGAAAGTCAACGGTGCTGGGCATAAAGGTGCGGGGCTCCCGGTGTGTTGGGTGGGGGCCGTCACCCTGTCCTGGCGCGCCCCCTGGTGACCTCCTGGGATCAAAAAAATCCCCAGATAACACTAATCGTGTGTCGCAAGAATGGAAAGTATGTACCAAGCGATTTAAGAAAAGTATCCTGGGACCTCATACTGGCATTAAGGAAGAGACCTAAGGTCACTAGAGTTCAAGGTTGCCTAAAGTTCATGACTTTTGCCATAGCCAGGTGCCACTCTGCCAGTATTAACTTAATAGTGACTTGCCTCTTTTTTTTTTTTTTTTTTTTTTTTTTTTACATGGAGAAACATACTTGGAAAGGAAACTTTATTACATCTAGGCAATCATGGGCCTGGTGTGTAGTCATATTTTTTCCAATGAACATTAAAACGTATCCATAATTATTATGATTTAAAAAATGTTTGCGTGCCCCCAAAGAGCAACTTGCATTCTTAGCCCTCAGTTTTTGCATCTGGACAATGAGGACATTGAGATAGCTGTGTAAGTTACTTTCTAACTATAAAACTTCTGAGATAGTTGTGTAAGTTACTTTCTAATGATAAAACTTCTCTCAGCAAGCCCCCATGTTATGAAAGTAACGCATAGAACCCCCAGAACAGCCTGTTACAGACCCAGGTACCTTGCAATCAACCCACAGTCAAGACTCATAACCCAGATATTTGGAGTCTCTCCCAGACAGGTAATTATACGACTATGCTACCGGCTTTGTTTCTCTGGCTTCTTACCAGAGATACTTGAGAAAGATTTGCATGCAGCCTTGGTATGTTTAGGAGAACTTTTTTTTTCTTTTTCCTTTTCTGAAGCTCACATCCAACTATTCCAACCTCAAGCCCTGATACTACTATCTGTAAAATATAGGTCAAGCATTGTCACCAAGAGTTCCAAGGAACATTCCTTTCAAGAAGGGGGCCATTGATTAGGCCTAATGTATCTTTGTTTTGCAGGAATGTGGGTGGCAGGGTGCGCTGTAACCTGAGCTGACCTACATTTCAATTTTGGCCTAATTAAATAGGAAAATAGATTGTATCTGGTTCTCGACCTTGCCTCTTAAATTAAACTTTGAAACTCTCTTGCGCTGGCCAAGTTCAACACAGGACCGGGCCAGTTCCCTGGGACTCCTGCTTTGTGCTGCTGTCCCCACATGCCCTGGAATTCAGCAGGGCCAAAAAACGGCCAACGAGATGTAACAAGGGGTCAACCGAGGGGGTCTCAGGTCTTTTTCTTTGGCTGAAGATGCAGGGAGTGCAGATACTGACATGTCCCTTTAATGAAGGCACGGAGGCCTGTCCTCATCTCACCAAAAGAAAGTGCTAGGCCTCCCACTCCGCACCTGAAAGTGTAGTTCAGATTGAGTTGAGCAGAAGGGACCGTGGGGCAATCCTCAGAAGGGTTCGTACTGCCCCCTGGGGCTCTCGGGGGACAGTCGGGTCCTTCCAGCCCCTGGGAGACACAGGCGGTCCGCCGCAGGGCCGTGGCGGTTGCCGATCCCGGGCCATCCGCGGGAGCCTGGCCGCCAGCGGGAGCTGGGCCTCGCTCCGTCCCGGGGGGCCCGGTGGGGAGCCCGGTCTGACGGCCCTGTCTTTCCAGTTAGCCATCTGTACGGGTTCGGCTTGGTGGACGCAGAAGCTCTAGTCATGGAGGCCAAGAAGTGGACGGCGGTGCCCTCTCAGCACACGTGCGTCGCCGTCACCGACAAGAGGCCCAGGTGAGGCTTGGCTGCGGCGCCGTGTGGCCTGTCGGGCGGGCGGGTTTGGCCCTGACTCTGCTGTCAGGTATTTCGGGGCAGGTGTCCACACTCACGTTCTGGCGGGGACACACACTTTCCCTCAGAGACTGTGAAGCTGGAGGAAGAATTGTTTTGTTTTTTTTTTAAGATTCTATTTGTATGTTTTATTTATTTTTAGAGAGAGGGGAAGGGAAGGAGAAAGAGAGGGAGAGAAACATCGATGTGAAAGAGAAACATCGATCAGTCGCCCCCTCCCCCGTAAGCTCCCCAAATGGGAATCGAACCGGCGACCTCATGGTGCACAGAACGATGCTCCAACCTACTGAGCCATCCGGCCAGGGCCCAGCTTTGAGCTTTTTCAAGCATCATCCTCTCTGGGGAGCCTTAGACTGTCCTATTCAGAAGAAAGAGGGAGGCTCTGAGATGAACGAAGCCTTTTGCTCTGTTTTGTTTTGCGTATTGGGAAATGCGCGGCACGTGGATATCAAAGTCCAGGTGAGGTGGTGCTGGGCCCCTGGGAGCTGGTCGGCCCGCGGCCGCGACCTCCCTGCCCACATCCCATCAGGGCGGCTCTTGAATGAAGCCTTTTTCTCCTGCCGGAAATAGTTTTAAGATGGCAGAGTGGTGCCTGGGTGGCGAAGGGCTGTTTTTATTTTTATTTTATTTTGTTTTGAAAGCGAAAGCACCCGGAGGCTAGACAGCTCAGGTTGGGGGTGCCCCGCCGTCACACACAGTGTGACATTGTTCCTGTCCTTGGAGCAGAGAAAGGGCTCCGCAGGTTCCAAGACAGGGGAAGAAGTGGCTTTTTTTTTTTTTTTTTTTTAAGAAAAATCATCTTTCCGTGTAGCCATTTCAGACTCTTTCTGGAATAGTTGGCCAACCTGCTACCCCAAACTGCTTGCTTGAATGGCACACTCAATGGTCCCTAAGGTCATGGAAGCTTCCAGAGAGAAGGGGGCAGAGAAGGAAGAGGGAGGGGGAGAGAGAGCCTGGGGAGATCACTGTATAAAGGCAGATGCTTCCCGTTCCGCCTTTGGGCTTCGTCTCCCTGCCGAAGGCTCCGGCGCGGCTCCAGCGCGGCGGCTGGTCAAGGCCATTTGATGCTGAAGGCCACGTTCCGTCATGGGGGTTCTCGTCTCGCTGCGCCTTTGGCTCAGAAAGGGAAAAGTGCTCGCACACAGCTGCCGTTCTCTCTCCTTCTCCCTGTGCGCTCCCCGCATGCATTTCCCGTCCAGCTCTCTTCACCTCATTCTGGTTTCTCCTTCTCACGGGAGAATCATCGGACGCTCAACGTCCCCGACTGGCCTCAACTGCTCGCCATAGAGAAGGACGGGGCTAGGCTGTGGGGGGGAGGAGAGGAGAGAGAGAGAACACGAACCTCTCTGTCTGGTGTGATGAGGTCAGAGAGCTGCGCTCATGGACCACTCAGCGGGGCGTCGCAGAGGGGGGTGGGGGCCACGTCGGCCACCTCGGCAGTGATGCTGGCGGGGCTCCGAGCTCCAGGGCCTGGGTGTGGACGGTCCCCCGCAGCTGGGGCGGGAGTGAAGAACTGTGACCCTTCTCTGTCTTCCCCGGCCCTCCGCCCTGATCTGGCCTCCCTCTCCCGGGGCATGTCACGGTTTAGGGAGGCAGCCCTCGCGGCCATTTCAAGAGGAGCCGGAGGGCCACCCTCGCTGCGGATCCCGCCTGGGCCCAGACACCAGCATTGTGCCCTCGGGGTGCCGGCTGGTGTCCCCCTGGCAGACTGCTCTGTCCCAGCAGTGGGCGGGCGGGCGGGCGGGCACCACCCTGACCTGCCCCAGAGCCAAGCTCAGGCCGACAGCACGGCCAGAGGAAGGCAGCATGGGGGGCAGCTGGGCTGCCTTTGCAGACACACGAGAAGCCCCCCCAGGAGGAGGAAGCCATTGCTGAGCCTCTTAATTTGAAGAAAGGCCACCCAGGGACCCCAAGCCACCTGTTGGCCATTCTAGTCTGGACTGTACATCTAGGGACGGCGCGGTTTGGGGTTAGCCTGTCTCCAGTTGGATCCCCTCCCAAGAGAGAAGTTTCTAGGAGAAGGCGGGGCAGCAGGGGCGGGGCTGTTGAGGAATGAGAGGGCCCAGGTCCCCCGCTCCGAGGCCAGTGTCACTGAGCTGTCTCTTTATGATTTGTCACCCACCCGCACCTCAAAGCAGGCTGAGTCCCCTGGAGCAGAGGCCTTGGGGTCTGGCCCACCTCTCCGACACCCACGGTGGGCAAAGCTCACCCCAGGCAGCTCTCAGGGAGCACTGAGTCTCTGTGCAAGGGCGACACCCTGGCTGGTGTGCCTCAGTGCGTTGGAGCATCATCCTGTGAACCAAAGGGTCACCGGTTCGATTCCCAGTCCTTGCAGGCCAGGTCCCCAGTAGGGGGCGCGCGAGAGGCAACCACACAGGGATGTTTCTCTCCCTCTCTTTCTCCCTCCCTCCCCCTCTCTCTATAAGAAAAAAATAAATGAAATCTTTAAACGCAAGGGTGAGGGGAAAGTCACTTGAACTTGACAGGTCCTTTGGTGAAAGGGAATGAGTCATTGGAGTCCTTACAGATGACACATGATGACAGTATAAATTGGACCTGCGTCTCAGCTATGACATTCACAGACGTGTAGATGATGCGCCTGCCTAGTCTTGGGCCCAAGTGACTTTCATTCAACTCAGAACTTTCCTTCAATTAAAGGAAAGTAAATAGGATCATGGCCTGTGCCATCTGCCTGCGCAAGATGATTTAAAAGTCTGTGTGTGTTAGAGAGAAAGAGAGGGCAGTAAAACCAATGCTTTTATAACCTTTCTAAATGTGCAAAAAGAAAGCCAAGCTTAGTGTAATATTTGCAAATGACAAGTAGGCCCAGGTATTAAAATACCTTATTTGCTCCTTAGGGTTTTTCTAGCCAACACCTCTTTGTATCTTTAAAAGTCCAGGCTACTTACCCACAGCCTATGAAGTCCATGGCTCTCCACTCAGTGCTAGAAAGAGACCAAAATTTCTTTTTTTAAATATGTGTATTGATTTTAGAGATAAAGGAAGGGAGAGAGAGAGAAACACTGATGTAAGACAGATATCGGCTGGTTGTCTCCCATACGCATCCTGAAGGCGGATCAAACCGCAACCTCGTCTGCACCCTGACCGGGGAATCAAACCCCCAACCTTTTGGTGTACAGATGATGCTCCAGCCAACCGAGCCACACCGGCCGGGGTGAAAGACACCCACTTTTAAAGCAACAAGAATTTGCCCGTTCCTCTTTAGTTTTAGCAGGTTTGGGATAGCGCTCACGCACACAAAAAGGTACTTCAATTCTAAAAGTTTGGACTATTAAGGATGTGTTGCTTTGAGTATCAAGGGTTTTCTGGAGAGCAGACAATCTATTTATAGGTGTTCAAGAATGAACTACGGGTGAGTCACGCACTGCTCTCTCCCCTGGTGTTTCGTTACACGTGCGTGCGACGCTCACTCTCTAACGACACCATAAATACACAGATAAGAATGACATACGCTGGTGGTCAGGTAGTTACTGTGCCCCAGGCACCGTTCCAAGCCCATGATGAGTAATCAGTCACTTACTGAAAACCCCAGACAAGACTATGAAAACGTTCAGGGCCCTATTTTTATCTCCATTTAACAGAGGAATAAACTGAGGCACAAAGGGATTAAGAAACAGCCAGCAGCTGGGGTGTAGTGGGGCCGAGCTGCCTGTCTCCGCAGCCCACCCTGTTCCTGGGGAAAGGAACGTGTCACAGCAACTGTGCTCCGAACCGCGTAGAGTCGCCTGCGTCCCCAGGAGCCATTCCCTCCTTCCCCTGCGGCCCCTGGCCAGCAGGAACTAGGACAAGGAGGCACCCTGGCCCTGGGGACCTGGAGCCTCGGCCGCCTGCCGGCACCTGAGATCCCAGGCCCCGGAGCCTCACCTGCAGCGGGTGAGCGAGACCATCGGGTGAGGCGACATGGCCGCCGCGCCCTGCGTTGCTGGGACCCACGTCCGCCTGGCTCTGGCACACGGCCTGGTTTCATGTCTTTTTAGGAAGCTAAAAGCCCCTCTCTCCTTCAGGCTGTCCCTGGATGGGGCAGGTCCCCCCCTCCCACCCAGAACCTCCCTCCTGGGCATTGAAGTTCTGCGCACTCCTGGCTACTGTGTGAGGCTGTGTGTGTGTGTGTGTGTGTGTGTGTGTGTGTGTGTGTGTGTGTGGTTGATCTGAGAGAGAGACATCTATCTGTTGTTCCACTTACTGATGCATTCATTGGCTGGGTCCTGTATATGCCCTGACTGGGAATCGAACCCTCAACCTTGGCGAACCAGGATGATGCTCTAACCCTCTGAGCCACCCGCCCAGGGCTGTATGAGATTCTTGCTTCTGGTTTCTTCAATGGCGTCCTTCCACAGGGCACGGCAGGGCGTGCTGAGAAAACTCCTGGGGCGCTCGGCGGTCCCGCCCTGCGGGGGACCCCACCTGGGCCCGCGACATTTGTCCTGCTTCCTGACATCCCTTGAGAGCGGCTGTCTCACCTGCAGCCCCTTTCCCTTCCTCGCTTCTTTTCTTGATGCTGACCTGTCTTCCCCAAATAGTACATGCTCCTCTTCTAAAATTAGGACTGAAATCCGAATAACACTGCCCGTTCTCATGCTTTACGGGAGTCACGCTCTGCGAAGTCACCGCAAAGGCTGAGTTCGCGAGGACAGGACCATCGCTCGTGGGAGAATTACGGGGTTCGTGAGGTACTTGCGAGCCAGCCTCTGGTCCCGTTTTCATCCGCCGATCAATACAGAACCTTGTTTGATGTGTGCTTCTGTTCAAAGACACCTTGTCTGCTCTATATTATTGATTCATTAACGCTGAACCCGCTGTCAAGAGCGCTGTAACTCACACCTGAACGACGCTCGCCGCACACGGGCGGTCTCCGACAGGCACACCTCAGCCTTCTTGCTGTGAGGGACAGCAGAACGCACGTGAACGCGAGGCTGGGGCCTCATTTTAAACGGTGAAACCACCCACAAAAAGCACAAAAATGTGGAAAGCATGCCGCTGAAGAGACCGCAAAAATGCACCTTTGTTTACACTGTGGGAACAAAAACAAAGGGGCAGAGTAGCCACGTCCCCCCCGCAGCTGGGGACCTGGGGACCAGGCAACGCAAATATTTTGCTTCTCTGTGTGTATCTGCGAATGACCACCAATACCCCACATGTATTGACTTGGGGGTTGCAAATAGATTTTAGTGAGCAGGTGACTTTGTAGATGCGGAACTGTGAATGGGAAGAATTGGCTGTATATTGTATTGTCTTTTTTCTCTCCATGAGTTGGGAGGAAGGTTGAAAGCCAGCTCACTGAGCCCCCTCCTCTCAGGGAGAAGAAAAATATGTGCTGTAAACTTAAACATTATACGTTCAACGCCTGAGAACTTGGTCATGGACAACAGTGTCTAAATTAATGTGCTGACAGCCTCTTTTTTTCCATTTAGTTAATTTTTGTCTTCAGCCTAACTGATGTGCTATGGTTTGATAATCAAAAGTAATTTCATCTAAGGAAAATTCTAAATGTGCAGGGGTCGGGGGGAACCTTTACCGGGGACCTCTCCGGTTCTGGGAGGACTGGAACCCTCCAGAACTCTCCAGGGCTTTCTGTTCTGCTCCGCATCTGCCACCTCGGAGGTGGCCAGCTGACCGGTGGAGCAGACAGTAAAATTTGGGAGCAGGCCGTGAAAGAGCTCGGCCTCTCTAAATCAATTTATGATGCATGAAAATCATGTTTTCAAATTTTTACAGTCTCCGAGGGAATTACATCACTGTTTGTAACTGTTTTGAGTGTTTCTTATGACTCCGGCTCAGTACGGCCAAGCGATGTCATTCCTGGGAGGCACTGGGCCTCGGCTTCGAACCCCATCCCCCCGCCCCCGCCCCGGCCAAGAGGACAGTCAGGCATCATGGGAAGAACGCCCCCCCCCATACCCCCCGTGACAGACCCAGCGCTGGCCGAGCAGCGGGCCCTCATCGACGTGCTGCTGGGCGGCCTTCTCCACCTTACAAGCCCTCAGGGCCCGGCGTGGTGGCCTCAGACCGGCAGGATAACCCAGCAGCTGTGTCCAGGTGCCTGCCGGCTGGTGCCTGCTTCCTCTGGGGAGCACATCAGAACCTTCTGGTAGAGCTGACTTGTGACTTCCTGGGGCGTGGTGCTTGTCCTCAGGTTCCCTGCTGTGCGGTAAAACCGAGCGTTCCTGTCGAAAGGCAGGAGAGGGAGGGGACCCTGGTCTTGGTGCGGACAGCCAGACGCAGACCAGCGTCCATGTGTCCTCTGTGACTCTGGTCCAGTCACTCTGGCTTCCACGAGGGCACTTAGCACCAGGGACCAGCTCTGGCACCGGTCACTCATCCGTCTCCTCTTTCCTGGGGTGTTGGCAGGCAAGCGTGGGCCCATGCGAGCATCTTTGTGGGACAAGAGGTGGAGGCAGGGACTCTGGAGCCTGAAACCCTGGCTCCGTGTCTCAGTAACCGTGACCTTGGGCACGGCCCTTGGCCTTGCTGGATGACAAGGCTTAATCCTTATAAATCAGACCAGCGCCCGGTGTCCGGTCCCTGGCCTGCGGGCAGCTCAGGAAATCTTTGCTGTTATTATTACTCAGGATCGTGACCTTGAGCTTCAAGGCCAGTCTTAGATACCGAGTGGTGGGATTTTAACGCCTTGCCCAGCACAGGCCGCTGGGGGCCCGATCCCTGGGCACCGGCACCAGCACCGTTCTTTAAATCGCTCGAAGCAAATTCCAGAACGACAGATGTCTTCTGGGCCGGTGACGTACAGCAAACAGAGGCATCTGAGCAGGAGAGGAAGGGCCCCGAGCTCTCCCTGGGGCCCGGCCCTCGGAACGCGTGGCCCTCGTGCCCGACTTGGCGCTTCCGGCCGTGTCCTAAGCCGCCCCTCCCCTCCCAGGAGCATCCCTGTGGTGCAGACGCTGCGGACCACCGCCCTGACCACCGCCTGTGCGGACCACTCCGACCAGCGCGTGGGCTACCTGGAGCACGTGGTGGCCCGCATCTCCATCTCTCACCCGCGCCGAGGAGACCTCCAGATCTACCTGATTTCTCCCTCGGGAACCAAGTCCCAACTTTTGGGAAAGAGGTAAGGCCAGGCTGGCCTAGCGGGCCAGGGGCAGGGGGCGGGGGGCGGTGGTCTGCAAGCAGCCACGTGGGCCTTGGAGCTTGGGTGCCCCGGAGCCGGCTGCTTCCCCTCCCTTTAGTCCTCACCTCTGGGAATGTCATTTTGGTCCTTTGCCACCATCAGGAAAGTCACAAGAACTGAAGGCGATAATGTAGGTGAACATGCGGGGCGTGATCCCTGGCACTGGCGGTTGACGGGCCTTCCCGTCCTGCGGACAGCCTCTCTCTCTGACCTTCCAGAACCTTCCAGAACCTTCCAGGGCCCCAGCATCCTCCACTCTGCTCCTTCCCCCTAATTATCATCCCTCCACTCAGACCCAGTGTTTGAGCTCCTGGATTCTTAGAGAGCAGGCCTTCCGGGTTGGCTGCTTCAACGCCACCCATTTGCTAGGGAGCTGAACCTGTGCCACTGAGCACTTGAAACCTGCCCCAAGGCCACTTGGCAGTCACCTGAGCCTTGGGAATTTGCATTTCTCTTCCCCCAAGGCAGATCCTGTGATGATAGGATCTGTTACCTTCCCTGGATTTCACCTCTTGCTTAGTGCAGCAGCTTTTTCAGCTTGCCAGAATTTTTTTTTTTCACTAGGAGTGCGTTTACATTTGTAAGTAGTTCAGCCCATAAATGACAGTCTGTTCTGTCCCCCGTGCCCTGGGTTCTGTTTGGCATCTTGTGTGAAAATCGGCCTTGACCTTTGCAGTTTCTTAAGAGAACGGCTGGGGTGTCCCCTGCCCTCTCTGTCCTGCAGGCAAAACAAGGTCCCCTGGATAAAGATTTTTCTATATTGGGTGTTCCAAGAACCCCCAATTGAGAATTAAATATTACATCATCCTTAAAATATCCTTACCTGGGTTTCTGATGAACAATAGAGCCCCAATGTTAAAAAAAAAAAAAAATTTTGTTCCAAAGGAGAGATGGAAAACTAGACTGGGAAGAAAGAGTAAGACAGAAGAAGCTGGAATTGTTTCTTCTGAAAAGGAAAAGCTGAGCCCTGCACCCTGAACCTGCCCCCACCTGCGTGTTGGAAGGCAGCGGGGTGGGGGGGAGCCATGAGGAGGTTCCCGTTTCTGCTCAAACCCCACATGAGGGAATGGCCTGCTCAGGAAGGACCAAGGAAGCTCATCAGCACCTCCAGGGAGGCTGCCAGGGGGAAGGAGCCCCTGGTCGCCCGACGCTGCACCCAGGGGTGCCTCCCGGCCTGTGCGGGAAGCGCCCGGGCCTGTTCCGGCATCTCCCCAAATACAGCTGCTGACGCCTGTGAAGCCCAGAAGACGAAGGGGCGGCCCTTTGCCCACAAGCTTGAGTGGCTGCACATTTCCCCCTCGTTGTATCTTCCGGAGAACAGCACACCCAGACCTGGCTTGGAGGCGAACGGGAAAGGGTCATTCCTTCCGAACCAGCATTTTAGAAAGGCCTCTGTGGGCACGCCCTTGGGGCTGCAGTGGAGGCCCCCTGGCCCAGCCTCTGCCTGCTTAGGGGCCTTCGGGCACTGGGGTGGGAAGGGACCAAGGAAGGAACCTGGCAGATGAAGGGCGTTCGTTGGTGACGTGCTGGTGGTGGGAAGGTCAGGGACAGGAGTCACTGTGCCCTCCCGTGAGTCTGTAGGCAACCACTACATCCGGGTCCCTAATAAAGCAGGGATGTGAGCACCGCGGCAGAGTCCCTGTCTCACACGGGGCTCCTGGGAAGCCTGCCTGTCTCTCCATTCTTTTTTAAAAGATTTTATTTATTTATCTTTAGTGAAAGGGGAAGGGAGAGAGAAAAAGAGGGAGAGAAACATCGGTGTGAGAGAGAGGCGTCTATCGGCTACCTCTTGCACGCCCCCAACTCGGGACCCGGCCCACACGTGGGTGTGTGCCCTGACCGGGAATCGAACCGGTGACCTTCCCATTTGCCAGACAACACTGAGCCACACCGGGCGGGACTGTCTCTCAGTGTTTTGAGACCCAATGAGAAAATGGAGGGAAGACAGCCGTGCAGGGCCGTGTGGTAGACAAGGGTGTGAAAGCAGCCAGCGTGTTACCTGCACCCTCGCCTCAACGGAGGGCCCGGTTCGGCTGGGTGGTCCAGTCATCTGAGGACAGAGCCCTCCTTGGTTGGCCTGGTCGCCCCCGTCCCCAGCCACTACCCCTCTCAGGCGGCCCTCGTGTTCTGACCCCGAGTCTCCCGTTGCAGGTTGCTGGACCATTCCAACGAAGGGTTTTCGAACTGGGAGTTCATGACCGTGCACTGCTGGGGAGAGAAGGCGGAGGGGGAATGGACCTTGGAAATCCAAGACATGCCGTCCCAGGTCCGCAACCCGGAGAAGCAAGGTCAGAGGCTCTGGGAACGGGGCAGCTTTCGTGTTTCAACCCTTTTGTCAATTCTAGGACTTGCATTTCACTCCAGTGTCTCCAGTCATTCATTGTTAATGAAGGTAAAGTTCACAGAATACAAACCTCACCACTTCATCATTTTTAAGCACCTTCACCGCATTGTGCGACCGTCACCACTGTCTAATTCCAGAACTTTCTCTTCACTCCAAAGGGATGCCTTGAACCCATTAAGCAGCCGCCCCTCATTCTGCAGCCCCTCCCAGCCCCTGGGAAAGCCCCGATTTCTTTCTCTCCGGATTTGCCTCTTCTGGGCATGTTATGTGATTGGAATCATATACGACATGTGGGCTTTCGTGCTGGCGTCTTAGACTTTGCATAATGTTTTCAAGGCTCTTCCTTGTATCTATACTTCATTTCTCCTTATGACTAAACCCCATTCCTTTATGTTGAGCCACATTTGTTTACTCCATCAGCCAACCAACATCTGGGCTGTTCCTACTCAGCAGCTGTTACGAATAATACTGCTCTGAACATCCAAGCACACGTTGTTCTGCGGACGTGGTTTCCATTCCCTCAGGTGTATACCTACGACTAGAATCGCTGAGCTGAGCCGTGTGGTAATTCTCTGTTTAACTTTTTGAGAAACTGTCAAAGTGTTTTCCACAAGGGCTGTACCATTTGACTCTCCTATGGGCAGCAGATGCGGGTTTTAATTTCACAACATCGTCGTCGACACTTGCTCCATTTCCATGTTGTTTGTTGTTGCTGTAGCCGCCCTACTGGTATGAAGTGGTGTCTCTTTGGGGTTTGGGTCTGCTCTTCCCTGATGACTAACGATGCTGAGAAGCTTTTATTGTCCATAAATCTTCTTTGGAGAAATGTCTATTCAAGTCTTTTTGCCCATTTTAAAATCGGATTGTCTGTCTTTTCGTGTTGGATCGTAAGAGCTTTTTAAAAAATATTTTGGATACTGGATCTTTACCAGAAAAGCCTTTTTTAAATTTTTTTCTCCCATCCCGTGGGTTGCAATACAAGGGATCCTGTCCAAGCCTGGCCCCGAATTAAGTCCCGAACAGGCTACTGTCCATCTGTGGGCCCGGTGGGAGTCTGGGGCTCTGACTGGTTGAGACAGGAATGGAATAAACATCCCCCGGTAGCTTCTAGCTCTGACCTTCTGTGATTTGTTGGAACTTGGGGACCGGGACGCAGCCTTCCGCATTGTCACAGAGCCGGCACACCCCTGCAGCGGCTTCTGGAACAGGCTGGTCTGTGCAAGCCGTACGCTGCTGACACCTGTCGCCCCTGAGGTGGTCTTCGCAGAAACAAGCGTAGGCAGGTGACGAGGGTGGGTCCCTCGCTCTGGGCTGCACGTGCGGCACATCCGGGCACTTGCGCTTCCTCCCTGCACACAAGATGGAGTTGGCGTTGGTTCTGTCAGTGCTGAGGGAGGGAGGCAGGGAAAAAAGAGAGAACTACCTTGCACTGACCTGTGCAGGTCAGCCTGGTGCTGTCTGTTGGGGCCCTCAGCCTGGGAAGGGGGCCCTGGATGACTCAGGTGACCTCTGACCCCAGCAGGCTGGAACCCAGGAGGACAGAGGCCTGGGGGCTGTGCTGCCGGTGCGGTCGGTGCAGAGGGTCGGGCCGGATGGTCAGGGTGGCTCGGTGGCCTCGGGGCCGGAATAGCGCAGCACACACAGACGGCGTCCTGGGCGAGCCCAGCGTTCCCGTGTCTCCAAGGCGGTTCTGAGAGCCGGGGGGTGAGACATTCCAGTCTCTGCAGCTTAAGTGCTTTTTTTAAAGCCAACTCAGTTCCAATGGTTATGCTGAGTAAAAGACTTCAAAATCTCAGATAAGACCTGGGGTTTATTGAGTAAGTCAGGCCTCTGAATGATATGCTGGCGCAAACAATACTCATCTCCGTCATGTTGAACTTCGTTTAGGTCATTCATGTTAAAACTTAAAAAAAAAAAAAATACTGAAGAGCCCGTTAGTCACCTATTTTCCTCTTTGGTTCCTGGGCCAGGGGAGGGCGTGTCTTCTCCCAGGATCCCTGTCGTCTGGAGACAGGTTCGGGATGGCATTGAGGGCAAGCTGTGCACGCTGGGTTGCCAAGTGGCTCCTCACCAGGGGACAGCGGCGATCACATAGGTAAAGGGCTATCTTTTGGGCCGTAGGAGTACACGTCAAAGGAGAGGCATTTCAGTGTAGAACCAAGATTCAGACCTTACAGCGGCTCTGTCCCGCACCCCCCTAAACTCCTCTTGGTCCCCAACAGAGCCGCCCCCTCTCTGAGAAGAACTTTGGTCCCATTACCAGATGGTGATATCTTCATTCCTTAGTTTGTTTCTTTCTTTCCAAGGCCTGCTCAGAGGAGTGAAGGGCTAATTGCTGTGGGCTTAACAACTTATTTAATACGTCAGTTTTTCTGACTACATGTTGCTAATCAGTAAACCGTTATCATGGAATTGACAATATGCTAAAAAGTCATTTTTCCAAGGGGGGAGAATTTAAAAACAATATTTGATATTAAAATAGTCCAATAGACAGGCAGGCACCTCTAATGTCTCAGCCCCCATAGTTACATTTTCTCAAACAGAGCCCTATAGTGTGTCGTAGCCTTAATATGTAAAGAGTGCTTATAAATCACTAAGAAATATGAAAATCACCCCTGCTAGAAAAATAGGCAAAAGGCCTGAAAAGGCCATTCATAAAGAAAAAAATATAGCCCTGGCTTGTGTAGCTCAGTGGACTGAGCACTGGCCTGCGAACCAAAGGGTCGCCAGTTCGATTCCCAGTCAGGGCGCATGCCTGGGTGGAAGACCAGGTCCCCAGCAGGGGGGCACATGAGAGGCAACCACACACTGATGTTTCTCTTTCTCTCTTTCTCCTTCCCTTCCCCTCTGTCTAAAAAGAAATAAAATATTTTAAAAAATATAAATAACCAATAACAAAAAGAAATTTAATCTTTGTAGTAATCAAGGAAAATATAACCTAAAACACTAGGTAAATATGACAGCAAGCCACCGAGTAGAAGTCCCAGGGATGGCAAGACAAGTCCGAGAATGCGCGTTGGCGCCCTGCACTTGGGCCCAGCATGCGCTTTGGTGAGAAGAACGTGAGTGTAGAAGTTGACAGGCCTGGCCCCCAGTGCTGGCTCCGCCGCTTACTCTCTGGGAGACCTTGAGTGTTGCGAGCACTGGATGGGAGTGAACACGCCTGGCACAGCCTGGCACATAGCAGGTTGTCATGGGAGCTCAGGTTTAGTCCCTCCTCTTCTTATCCAGCCACCAGTGCGGGCTCTAACCACAGCCTGTACTACTCGGTCAACTTGCCCTCTGGGAACGTCCCACCCCAGAGGTGCCCGGTCGAGAGCCTTTGAGGAAGTTGCAACTGGCTGTGAATCTGGAGAACCCAGAACCTTGGAAACAGCAGAATCCCAGGCTGCTACCTGCAGGGCCAGCTAGATTGCTATCTCTTCAATGGACTGAAATGGAAAACTCTCCCAAGTCTTGACCTCGCAGGTACATGTCTATTCTTTCTTCTTCTTGCGCAACATCCACTTCCAAACCAAAGAACTGCGAGCCAGCATCGGGGTTCGGAAATGTCGTGAGAAGGGTCGTACGCTGACCTGCCCTGGCTTTTCAGTGGCTTTGCTACTCATGCAGACATGTCCCCGCGGCCACAGCCACGAAAGTTCCCACACATCTCGGCTTTCTTCGGAGCTCAGCCCGGCACCCCTGAGAGTACCTGCTTGCTTCCGCGGAACCCATCCTCGATTCTCTGCTTCCCACAAACCTGGAAGTTGAGGCTGGGGCCTGTTCAAAGAGGTGCAAGGCAGCGTTGAGCGCATTTGCCAAAGCTTTGGGGTAAATGCTGAGGGGCACAGGTTAGTGGTGAAGGTCAGACCTGAACCACATGCAGGCCGACTTGCCCGGGAAGAGGAGGCGTCTGTGGGAAAGTGGGTAGTGAGGGAAGACCAGGCTGCCGCGTACGTTAGAGTCGGGACATAGGACTAAGGCCTCAGATGAGCCCAGAGCAGAGGGTCCTGGAGTTGGGGTCCGAGTTCCGACTGGGCCACTTTCCGGCCTGGTCTGACGGGACCTCTCAGTCTCTGTTTCTCCACGTGACTGATGGGAATAAGAGTATCTACTCCATAGTCCTGGGTGAGGTTCCAATGTCGGGAGATTTTCTACAAACAAACCCTTGATGAGGATTTTGAAAGGTTTCAAGATTACAACCCATGAAGGGAGCCCATATGACGTGTCGTTTCTATATCAAATTCTACATTTCTGCATTAAACTATTAGATCGTGGCTCACAAAGGTGCTACGTCACTTGAATGGAGGGCTAAAAAATAGTCATACTCATAATGATCGTGCCGCTCAGGGAATTAGGCTTTTTTCAAAGATTCCTTATGATGGCTCAGATAGCCGATACCACTGACCCCTGACCGTGTGTGCTGATTGCATTTCACTCCACAAATTTCGAGAGGTGGCTCCCAGACGGGGTCCGCGCCCCACCCTTGCGGCTTGTCTGTTCCCATGCAGGTAGGGGCGGCAGCGGCCTGAGGAGTGAGCCAAGCCCAGGGAAGTGCTGCAGAAGCTGGGGAGCCTGTGGGTTCTCTCTCTACTTCCGGTGACACCAGCCTCCCCAGCCTCCCCAGCATCTAGCTGCCTTGGCGTGGTGGGGTGCAGGGGGCAGGTAACACGCACCAGGGTTTGCCCCAGTGAGAGACAGGAGGTAAAGCTCACGACCTTTCTGACAGACAGGCCCCACAGGGCCTCTTTGGAAGATGTCCCATGGCCAAGCACACACCATTTTGTTCCGCAGCTTGGCCAGCTCGGTATTCATTCCCCCCTCTTTCCGTCCTGGGGTAGCGCCTCCCAGGAAGGCCTCAGGGCATGGGTGTTGCCTTGAGTCTTGCTTTCCAGAGAGCGGGGGCCAAAGCAAGAGTCCAGGTAGCAGATGAGCTTGGATAACCTCCGTGTAATATTGCAG